TGGCAATTGAACTTCGTGTCGTACAATTTTGGTCTGAAATCATACTTGTGATTTCAGACCAAATTGCACTCCACTCAGTTCAATTACCATTATTAATTACTTGCCACCATTTTAGCATTTCCAGTTGTTTTCTGGAGCTGCAGTGTCCAACAGTTGAACATATGGTCCAGATTCTGTCAAAATCCTTCAGTTGTACATTTGGCCTTGGCAGTTCATAAAAATTTGTGGTATTAGCAGAAATGCAACGAAACATAGCGGAGATGTTTTTCCAGTAACAATCCTCGCCATTCGGTTGAGTCTAAACGCATGAAATCTTAATTCAAACAATGCTATTTAAATTGCAAGACTACTTACAACAAATGAAGATTGCCGAGTCGGGCAAAACCTTTGCCGTCTATTTGTTTGATTGCATTGCTATGGAGGAACCTACGGACAAGTGAAGTTGCTCATCAATTACTGAAAGGGAGGGGGTGAATAGGGGTATGCAAATCCGCCGATCCGTTCCTTTTTTTCACCAAATCCGTCGATCCGCCAATATTTTTGTTCAAATTCGACACCGCAACCACGTCCAGAAACAGAAGTGTAAAAGTTTAAAGGCAAACTGGTAAATGTGAATGCCATTGTTAATTTCGCACAAAATTTAATAGTAAAGAAGGCAAAACGTTTGATGACTATAACAGTACAATTCCAATAACAGTCTCAAACCTGAGTTTAAATGAGCTTTGTTCGAAAAAAAAAATAATTTGGATGAACTCATGAACACAGCGATCAAGGCTGAAGAAAGATCTATGATCCAAATTTGGTTTAGGACCCAAGTCCGAACATCAAGACAGGCACAATCCGAGATCCGCGCCAAAATTCACAGCTGATCCACGATCCACTGTGTTTTCGAAATCCGCGAATCAGCTCGATTCACCGAAAAAATCCACAATTTGTGCCAAATCCGTCGATCTGAAGACCTATTCACCCCCTCTGAAAGTAACAGGCGACAAATATAACAAACATGTAATGAATCAATCAGCGTAATTACATTGGCTTACACTGTATGCTAGTCAAAGTAAACATCACAATTTAACGACATAAGAGTTGTCGTCGTTGCCCAGCTTATTAGCGCGGTTCTGATATATAAGTTATGTCCTCAGAAAAAGGTATAAAAAAGAGACTACATATGTTTATTTCGTATGTTTATCATCGCTGATGAAATTTTGCTTTATTTATTTTACTTACAAAGATTGCAAAGAGGTTTCGGCGAAAGCGCCATTAGGGATACAAGTCAAATGGTTTTTGATCAGCGCCCTGAGAAAAACAAAATAATGACGTAAGATTTTATATGAATAGATGGGCAAACAAGGAGGAGGTATTAATAGCTATTGAGCTTCACTTGATCTATTTGTAAGTAAATTCGTAAGGTCCCTGAAAATTGTCTCCCAGAGTGATCAGCGCTCATTTTTAATATATCAACAATATCCTCAACATTGAGTTTTAAAAGCATACTTCACAAGGTTTAGAGTCTATAATTAACCTACTCCATACACAGCTCAACTGGCTCAACTTGGTGGGTAACGCACCGGTATTGAGGAGGTCATGGTTTCGAATCTTGTCATAGGAAAGCCATTGACTATGGAACAACGCTCACTTCATTCGGTTCAAAATTGAATGAGAGAGCCATTCTAATGAAAGTAAATAAAGTAGGGCTTCAACCTCCCTATACTGTATTTTAGGAATGTGAAACGGATGGCCGTTATCCCTTGGGCTAGTTTCCAAATATTACATATTTTACAAATGTTGTTGACAGTGACGTCGAACTGTTTGATCGTGGCTCATTGATTAAATTAACTTACAGAACAAGTAGGTTTTTGAGTCCAGTAAATGTGCGGGTGTTGATTTGGGCGATCTTGTTGAAGCTTAGGTACCTTTGAAGACAAAGAAAATTATACAACAATTCTTGTGCAAAGTGTTTTGCACTAAATTATGGTTTTACAGATATGGTTAGGGATTCATGAACAAAGAAATGTTTTAGTTTATTATAATTAAAAATGGAGGAGTAACCAGGATTGCAAACTATCTTGAATAAGAACGTTTTCTGGTCAAACGTTTCAGTGAAACGTAAGCTTAAAAAACGTTTTCAAAGACTTAAGATCTTAGGACTGTTAGCTGTTACGTTTTAAAATTCTTTACTAAAGAAAGTTTTTGTTCAAGATAAGTTTAAGAGTTAACATATATTCAACCGCTTTAGTTTCATAAAGGGTAACGACCAGCTAGCTAAGAATCACTTAACTCCAAAATAGGAAAAAGAGAAAACTCCAAACATCAAACTGAAGATCTTATTGCACGAGTGATCTGAGAAACGTTAACATGATGAAAAAAATTACTGTTTCCCTCGAA